TGTGTGTGTGTGTGTGTCCCTTGTGCCTCAACCAAACAAGAACCGTTTTTCCCTTTGTTTTTCTTCTTTTTTCCCTTTTCATCTCTCAATTTCATTTATCTATTTTTTTATGAGTGTCATCCTGAAAAAAGTTCAGTCCAGTGTTATCAGATGGACCCGGGCATTTGCTCGGATGACATCCGTCGGCCGCGGCACGTTAAGGGGAAGGCCCGTGCCCGATGTATGGCCCAAGTACTGGTGGTTTAAGTTGCAGCATGCATGTTGTCGCAACTTTCGAGGCTTGGCCTCTGGAGCAAATGGCTTGCTGTGCCAGCCAAAGGAGGCCCGTGCCAATTCGTTTTTCATTACCGTGCAGGGTGTTTCCAGCCCTCGAGAAAAGTGCCTCCAAAGTACCAGTTGTGTAAACCACTAGTACCCTTCATTGCCTTCAAGCCTTCTTGTTGAACGTCGACTTTTGCCATGCGCCAATTTGAGTCGAACCAGAGTGGCACGTAATTTACCTGACTCCCCTGCTTGGGTAGGCCGCGGCCATAATTTTGCAGTGTGTTAATCGCCACATTGGAACAATATAGCTAGGACTGGACCGCGAAGATGACTAATTTGAACGAGGAGAGGGGCAATTCCAAAAGATGCATGCGTTTGATCCCCAAAATTGGAAAATGCACCCTGCTTTCCTTGATCGGCTCAGGCCTACTTCGGGCCTTACTTCGAAGGGTTCGTGAAGCCACAAAGTACGGATCTTGTCTTATCACAGGCTGGTGAGGGGTAACGGTCATAAATTGAAGGAATTGTCAAGGGATGTGTCATTTCAAAAGGAAAATGTTATTTACAACAGGGGGCACAAGGAACTTCAAGCTGACCCATCCCATCACGTTTTGGTTGTGAGTGGTCCAATCCATGTAACTGTTGATAAACAGACCCTCATTTTAGTCCTCATGATGACATTGAGCGCGAGGTCATACTTGCACGGAATAGACTGCCGACACATGTCCTGAATCACAGACGGTTAGCGACCACGCAGAGGAATTCAAGAAATAGTTAGGAATTTTGGTTGTCGGCATTCAAATTTTCTGCGCACTAGAGCGCGCGCGATCATATTTTGAATTCTTGCATGCCGCGTAAACTCGCTTTTCGCTCTTCATACGCGCACCATCTTCCCTTCTTGCTAAGAGCCCCTCCTTGCATGTCCCTTCGTCTTCCCCCAACTCTATGTTGGATCCTCCCCTTACCTCTCGGCATGATTGATTGGTCGTTAGTTGGGAGGGTCAGATCAATGCTGCGAAAGAGAACTTATGCGCACAGCTTAAACGACCACTCCAATTGAACAAAAATGTCGAGCGTCTCGTCTTACTCGACCCTTCTGGAACCTCCTTCTTTGCTCATCTACATCCCTTGCTGCCCGCATCACACCTGGTGCCTCGCCGCCTTCAGTGCTATAAATCCTCTCAGCCCCACTCTCTCCTTCCCTTTGATCTCGGCTGCAATGCTGCGCAAGCTATGCGAGAAGGCGGCGACGTCGAACAGGCTCGACGTGCCCAAGTGACGGGCGGAGTAACGGCGTGGGGTGGGATTACCAGTAGACTGGGGGTAAGCAGTAGGAGAGACCGCGCGGTGATGGAGATAGAACATAGCCAACGGCAGGGCCTTGTGGCTATGATGTTCGGGTTGGTTGGTGGCTGCGCCTGAGGGAGGCCAGCACTGTTGCAATTTTGAATATCGAGGGACTCGCTCTTTTCTCCATTGCTGCTTTGTCCAAATGTCATGTGTGCAGTAGACTAAGCATGGATACTCAAACGCATGCATGATGTTGGTTATGAGGGTTGTGGATGCTGAATGCTTCGCTGTCCAATGTACGTAAGTGTATGGATATGGACTGGTGTTGTGGTTGTAAGGCGCACTTAGGCACGACCCTGGGAGTCATTGGGTGTCAAACTTCTGCTTGTATGCATGAGTATATTGATCTCCCTCTTTCTTCCCGACCTTTGCCGGTCCCGGCGCTACCAGTAAGCGCAGGGGATCATAGCCGACCTTTGCTGGTCCCGGCGCTACCAGTAAGCGCAGTCTCTCCGCTCTCGCGCGCAAGTGCCACGTGCCGGTTTTTCCCACGTTCATTTGGGCTGATGGCTGGCAACCAGAGACATCGGGCGGGGAGAGGGAGATCACCCCCCTCCCCTATGCGATCGCAGTTCCTACCTGCCAATCATCACACATACTACTTCCAATCAATGACCTTTTCGATAAAAAAACAGAGAAAAAAAAAAGGGGGGGGAGAGGGAGATCAACCCCCTCCCCTATGCGATCGAGAGGGTGGCCCCAGTCTCGTGGCTGACCTCACGGACATGATGAGTCCGAGTCGGAGGACTAAGATGTCTGTTGAATCCTTGCAATAAAGTTGGCGTGAACCTGGGGTGAGAGAAGCAGTAGATTCTGCGTCTTCTCTTTGCTTTTCTTTGTTTTCATCGCTTTCGCGGCCGACTGTTGAGTCGCAATCCTTGCAATAAAGTTGGCGTGAACCTGGGGTAAGAGAAGCAGTAGATTCCCTGTCTTCTCTTTGTTTTTCTTTGTTTTCGACTGTTGAGTCGCACATTGCCCTTAACCCCACGGCGGAGCGGAATTTTGTTTATACCCTGCCCGCGGTCACAACTTGCCCCTCAAATTTTCCTTATTTTTCCTTTTGAGCCTTCTCTGTCGGCCCTGATGTTCAAGCGACCTCGGGACTGAGGCGCTCGGTACAAAATGTTGCGCATCACAAGCCCACCTGTGTGTGGGTTTGCTGTCATACTGGCTGGAGACAACCCCACAGTAGAAGGGTTCGGGGGGGGGGGGGGGGGGGGGGGGGGGGTCTTCAAGTTAGGCCTTGCATACTTGCACTACCCTCTTCCCCCGAACACAATGTACCCCCATTGGCTGCACTCTACTGGAACAATAGCTTGTATACATTCTTAATCAGAGTGCTTTGTGTTCGGGGGAAGACAGTAGTACTCCCCCGGATGTATCGGACTGCTTTCAAAGCCACCAATCGATGCATGCGGCCGCAGTCGCATGCAAAGAACAGTCGTGAAAAAGCCCTTTTTTTATTTTTTTCCAAAGCCCAGATTGTTGTACAAGTTGGCCTCTAGACCTATGACAGTCACCCTCAGCACCTCGGCCATGGGGTCATCCAGTGTTCCTACTGTGACTACACCCTCGGAGGTGGGCTCCATCTGTGAGTTTGGTTCCAAATCAGGGAAGAGTGGCACTGTGGCAAAAGGAAAAACAAGGGGTAACTATGCCGGAGTCGCCGGAGTCACCCCAAAAAACAAATAGCGACCAATACCAATGGGCCTAGCAACAGTTCATAGGCTATGAAGTGTTGCAATACGGATGTGAGTTCGAATCCAGATTGAGCTAGTTGAGAGGACTCCTGAACTACCTGGGGCCGGGCAGTTCAGTGATGATATCTCAAGGTCACGGCCCTTTGGTATGAAAACAGAAGAAGAAGGCAAAAAAAGAACTTTAAAGAGTAACAGTGTAACACTGTGGCTCCAAGTGTGTGTGTGTAGGTGATTTTGGTGTCCCTTGTGACAATGTGTATGTGCTTGTCCAGATGTGAGGGGGAGTGGAGGTATGTGGCCTTATGTACTTGTGCTGAGGTGAGGTTCTGTACACACACTTTACATGGTCTTGCCATCAACTATGGGGCTTGCTTCATCAGTCACCAGATGCACAAAAGACAAAAATTATGGCGGTGTATCTTTCCATGTTCTAGCGGAATCTTCATTCTCATTTTCACACATTTGGTAGGTGGTGCAGCGAGGCCCTATGAGCCCACCAAAGAGGGGTATTGCACCCAATGCATACAGAAATCAACTTCTTTTTTTTTTCCTTTTTTTTATAACAAAAACTGATGGCCACAGTAACTGCTAGACGGGGTGATACGAACAGCCCCCCCTAACAGGCACCCCTGGTTGCTCAATTTATTGGTGGGGAGCTGCACCTGCTGGAAACCGGGTCCATCGTCCCATGTAAATTACAGCATTTAACAAATTAACAGTGAAACAAGACATTCTCCTGCCAGCATTGATTGCCCCAGAACCTCCAAAAGGCCAAGAAAAGGGGTTAATGCTCCCTTTTTTTTTTTTTTTTTTTTTTTTT